TGTGATAATACCGTTTTCATAGAGTTTATTCTCTTTTTAATGGCTGTTTTTGTTCTTTTTGGCTCCTTGATCCCCACAATTGTCTCCTACACCTACATCATCTCCACCATCCTCAAGATCCCCTCAGCCTCTGGCCGCAAGAAAGCCTTCTCCACCTGTGCCTCCCACTTCACCTTTGTCGTGATTGGCTATGGCTGCTGCTTGTTCCTGTATGTGAAACCCAAGCAAACGCAGGCAGCTGATTACAATAGGGTGGTTTCCTTGATGATTTCCATCGTAACTCCTTTCCTCAACCCTTTCATCTTCACACTCCGCAATGACAAAGTCATAGAAGCCCTTCGGGATGGAGTGAACCGCTTCTACAAGTTATTCAAGAGCTAGTCTTGCCCTGAGGTATTTGCATGGCCAAACACGTACTAAGATTGCTAGAATAATCTGACCATAACATCTCTGAGCTGCATCACAATCACTATCATTATCAAATAATCTGTGTACAGTGACTTTAAGTTGTGGCTACATTTTTATCATATTCTTTTCTTCCCAGATCCTCCCCCTTCCCTACCCTTCCAACTACATGTTCTTTTTGTCTCTTACAACAAAACAAAAATCCACAAATTAAAAATCCATTAAAAACCACTGAGTTGTATTTGTGTTGGTCATCTACTCCTGAGCATGGGACCCGCTGTGGAGTGTGGTTGATATACCAAGTGCCACTCCATTGAAGGAAATCAATCTTCCCTCCCCCAGAAACTATCCATTGCAAATAGCTTTTAGGGTAGGAGTGGGAGTTTGTGCTCACTTCCCCTCCTTTGTGCTGGGATTTTTTTTCCTGGTTTGAACTTGTATAGGTCTTATACATGCTGTCACAGTCCCTGAGAGTTCATCTGTGTGTCTGGCCTGTTTTTGATGGGACGTTTTTAAAACCGTCATCACGGTGTGCAAGGGGGCACAGTAAAGAAACATAAGAAACAACTGACATGACCGCTTCATTACTAAAGGTGAGGTTTTGATTATGAATAAGAGAGAGAAAATATCCAGAGGCATCTTGAAGAGTCAGAGCAGAGAGAAAAGAAAACAGACTAGACATGGCCAGGGCTAGTGAAGCAAGGAGAGCATGGTGGGGATGGCAAGAAATAGAGCATAGAGCATAACAAGAGGGAGGACAGAGAGGCCCCCAAGAGAGCCAGAGGACAGCCTGAGGTAGAGAATGTTTGGGCTGAACCAACCATATGGATTATGAGGAGGCCGAGTGGCTCAGGGGAAGGAGGACCAGGAGACTAGCGTGGATTTTGAAATGTACAAGTACTTGTGAATAGAGACTGAGGGAGCCTAGAGGCCAGCATGGGCTCTATATGCAACCACAGGTAGCCATATGTCCCTTCTGCCAGAGTTAAAGGGAAATGTCTACTTTTAGGCATTTGGAAATCAGTTTCACAAGTCCCTGAGGAATGCTGGCTTTTATCTAACCATGAGAGATCCTCCTGTAGTCCAGGCTGAGCTCATTCCTAGATCTATGGACTACCTGAGACCTAGCAATCACCTCTCTAATTGGTAAACTTTCTTGAGGTGTTAGAGGAAGAGGTGTTCTCTTACATTGTCACCCAGATCCTACTACTGCACAAAGGGGTTGTGTGGTGGAGCTGTGTTCCAGGATCTAGAACGAGAAGAGAGCTGGGCTTTCCACAGCCCTGGACCGAGGGGTGTAGTGCACGGAGCAGAAGAAGAGGCAGCCTCTGTTCCTCTCTGGGAGTCTCAGTCTTCAACCTTTTCCAGCTCTCTAATGCCTCCTTTGCTTTTGTTCTGCTTCATTTGTTCATCCTCTCCCATTGCCCTCCCCAGCCATCTCTGTGTTCCCCTTTTGAGTGTTCTAATTCTACAGTGTACTCCTAGGTTCCTGTGTTCCCCTCACTACGAACTAACGAAAAGAGCAACCCAGTTTCCCATGCGGTTGCCTGCCTTTCTCCAGACGGTGTTGCTCCCACTCCTTGTTTCCAGCTTTGCCCAACTCCCCTCTTTCCTGGCGGCTCTACCCTGATCCTAATCATTGTTTCCATTTTTGGGGTGGGGGGGAGGGGATTCATGGCTACTTTGTAAAATAATCCAGTGCAGCAGCATTTTTAAAAACTACAAATTGATGCTGTGTGGAATAATCATAGCAAGCTAGTTGAACAGTTTTTGTTCCACCCAGTGAAATCTTATGAAGCTGCCAGAACAATGATGTTCTTCCTGCAATGATTAAAAAAGTTATAAGCTATGTATTCTTTAGTAAGAGAACCGGAGTGCACTGAATATAAGTGGATCGATATTCATAGTTGCTGTGGATGGCATCATAAGGAAGTGATTGATAACTAGTTGCTCTGAAATTACGGCAATGAGGTGGGCATGGAGCAGAAGGGAAGACTTGGTACTGTGAACCTCTAAATATTCTTCTCATTTCTGCAAACATATACTAATTTACTGTACAAAAATAAAATTATCGAATTTCCCTTATTTGTCCTAAAGAATGTACTAAGTCACTTTCCTGTCTTTAAAATGCTCTGCAAGTCTGAGATCTTCTTCATCACACACATATTTGTCCAAATAAGGAGAGATTTGATTAAGTAGCTATGATGTTAAATCAGGATATTTTGGAGCTGTTTTGGATACACACTTGTAATGCTAGTGCTCAGGAGGCAAACGGAAGAGGGCTGAATAGATAGATGCTGGCTTACATGTTCATTTCTAGGCTGGCATGAACTGTGTAGCGAGAGCCTGATTTAAAACAAAGGAGCTATGGAAGAGGGTATGAAACTATTTGTTTTTCTAATTATAAAGTTCTAATTCTGTTCTTTTTTTTTGGCTTGAGTGTTGGATAAGTGCTTAAAATACATTCACTACTGAAAGTGTAAAATTTAATGCAAAGCCCCACAGCTTTCATTTCAAATGCCAATTCTAAATATATATATATATATTAATTAAAATATATAGATTTGATGTCTCATTAATTTTGGTGTGTGATGCTTTTATTTATATTCAAGTTTTTACATAAAATTTACTAAAAAAAAGAAAACAAGGAAGTTGTAGCTTATTGGCGGAATGGTAGTCTCGTATGTACAAATCCCTAGGTTTGATCTTTGGAATGGCATAAAAACAGAATCATGGAGGTATTTCTAGATCTTAATATAAAAGCTGAGTGTTCAACAATATTAAGAGAATAAGATGTGTGTTGATAAGACCATATCCTTTCCTAAAGTTTTTATTTAAAAAGTGTGATATGTACATGAAAGATGTCAGATGATGAAGAACACCAATCAAACACAAATCAAAATCACTATGGAAAGTCATTCACATAATGCAAGGTAGACAGACAACAGCATATATGTGAAAGGATGTGAAAGTATTAGAGTCCATATATATTACTGATGGGAAGGTTCAGTGGCTTTTGAAAAAAAAAAAGAAAGTTCTTTAAATGATGTATCATATAACTACATGAGCTAGCAATCACACTTCTAGGCATATCCTCGAGAAATGAATGTTTGTAATAGTTATAACAGTTGACAGATGGAAAAGCTTAACTATCATTCAGTTGATGAAGGAATCAACAAATTTTTCATCCATAGAATGAAATGCAGGTTGGGATAGCAAGCTTTGCACCACTGTAACAAACACCTGAGATACATAATTGATCAAAAGGCTTTGGAGATTTCGGTCTGTAATCAGTTGGTCTCATTGCTATTCATCCTGTGGAGAGGTCACACATCATGTTAGAAGCACGCAATGGAGGAAAACCACTCCTGGCTTGGGAGCAAAGGGGAGGAAGATGAAAGGCCTGAGGATTGTACACGCCCTATGGAGGGCACACTCTCAGGGACATGACTACATTCCGGGGGTCTTAGAGGTTCCCGAACCTTTTCAAGGTTCTACCACCTCCCGGTATCACAATCCTAGGGAACGAGCCTTTGATACAGACATATGGGGGGCACTCCAGCTCCAGACTAGAGCACTGTTACATGCTGAAATACATGGGTGAGTATTGAAAATCTTATTAAGTGGAGGAAGCCAGTAAGAAAAGGCCATACATTGTGTGACTCTACTCATATGAAACCCAGAAGACGGAACTTTATAGAGACAGGAAGTACGTAAGTGGCTTCAAAGGGCTGAGAGTAATACCAAGATGATGTAGTGATAGCTAGTGTGCACAGGATTTCTTGTTGAGGTGATGGCTGCAAACTACTGTGAATGTACCAAACCTATTGAATTGTACATTTCAAATGGGTCAAATTTCTGACGTTACTTACATCCCAATAAAGCTGTAAAAAGTATATACACACTGCATCAGATATTAAAAAGTGTGTAAGGGAAAGTATACTAGAAGCAAAGTCAAAACGCCAAGCCAAATGGCTTACTAAACCCATTTTTAAAAAATCCATATCACTGCTTCATAATAAAGGCCATATTTATCTACCCTTCATGAGTCCCTTCCCCAGTCATGGAAGCAACATCCACAGAGTCCCTGAATATTCTTTTTCTCACGCCAGCCCCTGCCTAAGCTTCTTTAAGAACCTGTGCAGGAGTAACTTCCTGTCTTGTGGGAAATTCAGACTTCAACCACAGAAATCACTAGATGTCCTCATTTCCTGGCCTCAATAGTATGCAACCATCTGTCATAAGAGAGGAAGTGTGGCAATGGAAGTTCCCTTTTCTCAAAAAGGATCAAGATTTCCTTTCTGTTGTCTGAGTTGTGGGGCTGACCCCTGGTTGGAATCCAGTTGCTTCTTCTCTTCACCCTCAGACTCAGCGTGCCCCCCCCCACCTATATGTTAAGACCATCAGAGAACTTATAGCTCCTCAGGGTATAAACATAATTCCAGTATCCACCAGATTACTTCTGATGGCCTTCTTCAAGCAGATTTTAACAGCTAGTGCATTATCTCATTAAAATTATAAATCTACCAGTGTACTAGCAACATTGAAACCTAGAAATTAGAGAAACAACAGTATTGTAATAATAGAATTTATGGTTTATTTTGACTAGTGGCACACATACATATCACAGTTAGATGCAAATGCAGAGTTCATTGTTGGGTGACTTCAATTCCTTTAGCTTTCTATAGGCTTCTTATTACTCAACCAGTGCATCTCTTTTCTCTGATGACTTCAGCTGCTATCTTCTTGTGAACACAGAGAACAGTTAAGAAACCCGAGACTTTATTTCATTTATTCTCTCCTCTCTTTCATTGTGATCAAACTCCTGCTTCATCTCTCACAATTTCCATTTGTCCCCATTTTGCTCTTTCTTCTCTGGTGAAAAGGAGTTATATATGCCACAATAGAATTTTATGGCAAACCAAGAAAAATTTTAGCCCGAGTGTTTTCTCAGTCACCTTCCTTTCCCTGTCTCTCCTGCCCACCACCCCCTTTTCTTTTCTTCTCTCCCCTCCTTTCTGCTCTTGTCTTCTCTCCTCCTTTCTTCTCTCTTCCTCTCCTTTTCCTTCCCCTCCTCTTTTCTCTGTCCTATACAAACCCTTCTGTATTCCCACAATGTTCTCTCAGCTCCACGTTGAGCTGTAGAGGTCCTCCCAAGAGCCTTGCTCTCAGTTCAGACTGAGGAAGGCCTGTTCCTCCTTAGCTTCTAGGGAGGAGTATGGGAATGGAAGCCTTTTGGGAATAGGGGAGGTCATGAAGCTGAGTTTATCTTCTACCCATGCCACCTTCTAACAGTGCTCATCTCTATTCCATTGGCAGTTTCTTTTCAATAATATGGGCATGTACTCTAAGGATGAAATAGATCCTGTCTTCAGGCAAAAGCCCATTGATCAGTCAAAATGCTCAACTCTACAGATTTCATTTCCACATCAATTTCATCTCCAGAAAACTGGCCCTGTCTACTGGAGAGCACTGGAGTCCAGTCCCCTCTCACAGGAAGTGTGGTCTTGGGGAATGCCTGGAGAAGGACAGGAATTTCCCTGTTGTGTGAAGATGTTTGTAAAAGGGAATAACATATTGACCCTGAGGATTTACTGGGAAGCTCCTCAGCAACCTGTGGAAGAGGGGCACAGTCTTTGATGTTCCGTATTTTCTGAACTAGTTTCAGTTGCAACTGATTTCTTGTGTTGGCTCTGTAGATATATATTTGCTCTTGTTGTAGAGACCCACGATCATTTGGGAGTCTTCTCACAGATCCAGCGATAGCTGATGTCACATGACGCAGCATCAAAGGTCTTTGTCAGGCCTATAGTGACACAGTGGAAGTTCTGACTCTCATTCGTCACACTAAATGAAGAGAGAAAGCATGGTTTAAGGCTCCTCGGTTCAGTTTTGTCTTGGGCTGTTAGTGAGGTGAGGGCTGCATGGGAGCTGTGCATGGAAGAGACGCAGCCTCATGCAGCTCTACACCCTCCCCTTCTGCACTCGGCCTTTCTTCCCAATGGAGACCATTTCTTCTCAACACATCTCCTCCAGTCCAGCCCTACACCCACTGCTTCCTCTCAACACTCCTGTGACCACTCACAGATTCCAAGAATCTCGGTCTAACTTGTTCATAAACGGTTGGAAATATTTCCAACCTTCGAGGGCACTGTCACCATCCCCCCCCCCCAATCATATTTTAGTATTGTTTGCATGTTTATAACAGGAAGGCCCAAGGAAGATGGAAAGAGATTTTTCATCCTTTACTGAAGGCAAACTGGATCTTGGAAAACTTGGTGGAGGCAAGCTGTTGGCCTTCTCCTACTTCCTTCCTGCCATTCAGATCCTGTTGGTCTGACTGCAGAGTCTCATTTCATGAAAAAGGTGCATGAGATTTGGGATCAAGGGACTGTGGAATCAAACTGTAGCTCTACCCTATTGCTATGTGAAATTCAATACATTTCGAACCTTGGGAGTAATAAAAGCTTTCTTTATGGCATCCTAGTGACTACAGAGAAATAATCCATGCATGCACGTAGCACAGCATAGTGCTTGCTGTTTAAGAGACAGTGAGCACATTTTAATTTTCTCCCCTCTGTAAAGATATCCAATTGCAGGCTGGGGGCCTGGCTGGCTCCTTGTCTGACTCAGCATCTACATATGAAAACTGGAAACATTACAGCTTCCTCCAAAGGTTGACTACATGGAATGATGCCCTGAAGATAGCTCCTGAGAGTTACCGTTCAACTTACAGATAGGATATAGGTATAGAATAAACTTCTTTTAAATAAAGCAGCTATATCTGGGGAAATGGTACCACATGTAGTTTAATGACCTATGAAATAACATATGAGGTACAGCAGCAGCTATGTGTGGGGGTTGGTTTGAAGAAGATAAGTTATTATATGAATAATATTCTCTCTTCTACTTTTATATTATGTAAAATATTGGATATTTTCTATAATAAAAAGGTTAAATAAGGCAAGAAATGGTTTGGAAGCAACTAGAAAAGCAGAACTGAGTCCAGTCTTTGCCTTTGAGCTGTCTCAGCATGGCTCTCAGGTTTAGTCTTCTCATGTGAAAACCCCTAGGGGAAGGCAGGGTGTTCACGTACTTGCCATTGAAGGCAGAGTTGTTGATCCAGCGCCACTCTCTTTCTCCAGGCTGACGTCTCAAACCAACGAAGTACTTTTCGGCACCAGCTATGTCCTGAAGATACTTCTAGAAGTTAAAAAAGAAGCAGCTCATCAGTGAGTTCTTCAGTACTGAGCTGGTGGTCCACAGTTGGCCTGGTTCTGGGAACTAGGAAGGCCCCCCGGGGATTAGACAATGGGTGTCACCGGCACACTTGCCATTGATCCTAGAGAAATTCTGAAACTTGTCAGAAGGAAGATCACCTGAATAGCTGGGCCAAACACAGACTGCTTGGCCTCTGGTGCGGAAGATCTAATGTAGATGATGAAGAATTTACATTACTGATAAACACCCTGGTGATGTCAGTACTGTCCTTTTGGGCCAACCCGGAAGGAACGGGGAAGAAGGATGCCACAGTCAAAAAACGGTCATTTCATATCCACATTTTATAACTGGCATGCCTCTGTTTGTAGGAATTTCACCATTCCAGAAAATATCACATTCCCAAATAAGTTTAATCCAGTGGAAAAATATGTTCAGAGTTATCAGCAAACCACTGATGCTGTGATCCTTCCCTGTGGTCAATATGCAGTGGAAGCTGGGGAGAGTAATGTGGTGAAAACTGGATGCACCAAAACTTAAATGGGGAATAGAGGAAATGGAGGGATCAATTTCTTCTCATTCTCCTCTTCTCTTTACCCTGTTTTCTCTCCCCATCTGCTGCCTTCTCTTTGCTTCTGATTATCGACCTGAAAACATTTTGCTTTTCCACTTGGGTGCTTTACCCCAGAGAATTTGGGAGATCCTGATCTCTGACCTTGGTTATTGATTCAGGGATGGCCCTCTAGAAAATTCTGCCCCATCACAGGATGATTTTGGGGAGGAAAGGATGGGGGAGGAAAACATGAGTATTGTATAGCGTAGTGCCCAGTATCCAACCAATGCTAAGATTTGAAGGAGAGGAAACTGTAAATAAAATAAGTATGATCTAAGATTGATGAATTTAATGTTTTCTTGTTTAAGTATAAGATCTTAGTCAAATAACTTCTATTTTGACTGAGGAGATGTGTCAGTTTGTGAAACGTTTGCTGTGTAAGTATGGCTATTTGAGATCAGATCCCCAGAAGCCATGGGAAAGCCTGATGTTGAGGTGATCATCTGGATTCCCAGTGCTCCTATGGCAAGAGAGGCAGAAACAGGAAGAGCCCCAGAAGACTGGGGGAGGGGCGCGGCTAACCTACTGTGCTGTGGTGAATAGCAAGTCACCTGGTCTCAAACAAGGTGGAAGGAAAACTTATTCTCTGACTTTTACATGCCTGCTGTGGCACATGTGTGCCCACATAAACACACACACACACACACACACACACACACACACACACACACACACAACACACAACACACACAAAACATTACTTTTCTTTGTTCTAATTTCCTCATTGCAAATCCATAAAATATGCATAATAATAAGTCTCATGGCAGTCACACGGTAAAGGGATACAGTAAACAAAGCTGTTACACAGTGTTAGTCTACCCTCATTATCACAAAGAAAAAGTGCAAAATCTGTTAATTGATTCTCGGTTTTTCACATTACTAATCATAGTAACGTATCTTTTTTCTTTTTTCTTTTTTTTTTTTTTTTTTTGATTTTTCGAGACAGGGTTTCTCTGTGTAGCTTTGCGCCTTTTCCTGGAACTCACTTGGTAGTCCAGGCTGGCCTCGAACTCACAGAGATCCACCTGCCTCTGCCTCCCGAGTGCTGGGATTAAAGGCGTGCGCCACCACCGCCCGGCCGTATCTTTTTTCTTATGCATACTGAGATGATACATTAGTATCTTAAGTAATTCATATCTTCCTCCTTCACTGTATACATTAACATCTCACAAAGAATTCTGCAATATTTCAGTAATTTAAATGACTGTATTTAACATTTATTCACCCACTCATTTTTGTGGTTGTGTGTTTTTGTGAGCTTATGTGTATGTATGTGTATGAGCATACATGTGGCACTTTTGGAGTTAGAGGGCAACTTGTGGGAGTTTCTGGGACCATGTGGGTCCTAGGGATTGAACTCAGGTCATCATGCTTTGCAGCAAGTGACTTTACCCACTGAGCCATCTTCCTAGTCCTTAAGCTGCTTCTACATGCATTAGGTCTTTGGTCAATCCTTGCACTTTAAATGTCCTGGTCTGTCTTTAAGATACAAGCCTGATGCTGTAGTTTTTGGGGGAAGACAACAGAATCTGGATTTCTAGTTTAGATGAAAATGAAGAACTTCCCAATCTCAGGTTTAGAACAAGGACTGTAAACTCCCCAGCTAGGCATGTCTCTATTTATCATCATCCTACCCCAGTCACCTCATTTTCCCACAGACTCCACCAACTGCAGCTGCCGTAGGCAGACTATCTTATCACACCACCCCAATGCTTTTACCAGTATCTGTGGTGTGTTGACAATTGCCAGTGTGGATTCTTTTGATGCACAGTCATCCCTGCTGTTTTCCCAAGATGATTCAGAGGTGGAGAAGAAGAAGCATCTCCCTTGATGAAAATCCCAGTCTTTGGGACAGATTGGCGAGACTAGGGAGTGGGGAAGGAAGGAGCAGAGACAGAGACAGAATGAATATATGTGATCAGTGTTCTGGAGTGGGGACCTTGGAACAGACTCCTAAAATGCTGGGACATACATTTCTTTGTGACTACCAATATAAATTCTTCCCAATTCAGGTAGAAATTCCATCACTCTAGTCTGTTTTCCTGCCCCTAATATAAAGGGAATGAACATGAAGCTCTTCATGGTCCCTTTGAGCCAACGTCCCACAAGAAAGGGGCAATGGGAAAAGCCCTTAAGCATCCAGCTTGTGTAAGCCAGGGCTGGCCTTGAACTTGTGATCCTCCTGCCTCTGCCTCCTTCAGCAAATCCTATCAGTGTGAGCCACTACTGAGTTCCAGGACATCAAGGGCTACACAGAGAAATCCTGTCTTGAAAAAAAACAAAACAAAACAACAACAAAAAAAAAAAACAAAAGCAAAAAACCAACACCCCCAAACCAAAAAACAAAACCCAAAATCAAAAAACCCCCAAACAAACCACCACCACCACCACCACCACCACCACCACCACCACCAAAAAACAAAAACAAAACCAAAACAAAACAAAACAACAATAACCAAAAGAATGCAGCTTGTGAGTACTGTGGGGGTGGGGGAAAGCAGGGACCATGCACTGTACCTGTCTCATAGCTCCTTGTAGGCATGATGCTTTCATTATTTTCCCCAAAGATTTGTGAGACTGAAATGAAAGGAAAGCCTGATGGTTACTCTCCAATGAACACAGCAGTCATTAGTATGTGGGCTGTTGAGCTCTGACTCTTTGTTTCTAAGCATCCCTGATGCTCTAGATTATTCAGAGGTGCAAAGAAAAACCATCTTCCTTGAGGAAGTGCTCAGTGTTTGGGGAAGGCTGAAGAGGAGGGAGGGGAGGGCGTGGGAAGGAAGGAAGGAGGGAAGAAGGGCCTGAAAGAGATGCTATGGGGATGACAAGGACCTTGGCCACTCTGAACTAGAATCATCAGAAATTGTCTTTCTTTAAAGCTTCCATCTAACTATTGCCATGATCTGTTATGCTTGGCACTCAGGTCCTACTCTATACTCCACTTCTTCCTATTATGGAAGTAGATGTGAAATGCTTAGGAGACCAAAACAAAACAGAACAAAAGAATAAGAGGTGGAACTAGGGGAGGCTGGTATCCCAGGGAGGCTCTTACTCCTCATATACACGTTTGGCATGGTTATCCCCAGAGAGCTCTTTGAAGTACCTTTTATCCAGCTCCATACAGTGTTTTTGCTGTTCCCTTTATTTCTGGTGTCCAAACCCTCTATAAGAAGCTATAACCCTAGGTAGCTTTTAGATACTTTTAGGATTTCCTCAGCTCAAAGGATTGTAACTGAGTACAAGATCCAGGATTCAGGGAGTTACAGCAGATAAGGAGGTAGGTAACCTTTTAGAGATTCCTCTAAGCATAGAAGTTTACTTTTTAAAATATAAAATATGGGGATTGATGGGCCCCTAAGAGGATCATTTTGTTCTGGGAGCATTGACTGAGCAGACAGCTACAATGGCTCCCTAGGCTACTGAAATCTCCCTTCAGGGCCCTGGTTATTTATTGGTTATGGTTGAAACTATCATTTACCCAGCTATGAATTGCTACTTAAAATAATACTGATGAAACAGACATAAGCATTCACTTTTTAGTACATTCCCTAGTTCAGAGGCTTCGTAATATTAGAATAGACTGTTTTATGTTAATTAGAAATGACTTTATTTGGTCCTAAAGACGTCAATAGTAACCCATATCTTAAGAGGCAGTGAGAGAGTTCTTGCAGAAAGCGACAGGAAGAGTGGGCTTGGAGCCAGAGGGATGGCACAGTACCCAGCACCTACAGGTTGGCACATACCACCTGTCTCTTCAGTTCCAGGGGCATCGATAGGCACTGCATGCACATGGTGTACCTATATACACGAAGGCAAAAACATTCATACCCATAAAAATAAATAAATCTTAAAAAAGAGAGGTGGGATTGGAAGCATCATGTCTTCTGTGGATGAAACAAAACTGGAACTGGGCTTTCTGTTTCATCCGTGAGGCTTGATTACTTACATGTGTTAGTCTTCTTCTGTCGTTGCTCTGGCATGATGTTTGGCACACAAAAAGATGCCTAGTCTTTCTCATGGAACATAAATTCTTTCCTGTGTGTGTGTGTGTGTGTGTGTGTGTGTGTGTGTGTGTGTGTGCGCGTGCGTGCGTGCGTGCGTGCGTGCGTGTGTTGTATGTTCATGTTTGTGTGGGTACATGTACATGTGTGTGAGTATGTATGCATTTGTGTGTGCATGTGTGAGGAGGCCAGAGGTTGACATTGGGTGCCTTCTTCAAACATTGTCCACCTCATTTATTAAGACAGGATCTCTTTCTGAACCTGGAGTTTATTAGTTCAGCTAGGCTGCCTGGCCAATGAGCACCAGGGATCCACCCATCTCTGCCTCCATCCACCAGACCTGGGGTTACAGACATAACTGTAACCCTTGGCTTTCAATGTGTGCTGGAGATCCAAGCTCAGGCATGCATACTTACGGGGCAGATACTTTACCAACTGAACCATCTCCTGAGGCTAGAATTTGATATCTTTTCTTTCTTTTGGTTTTTCAAGACAGGGTTTCTCTGTGTAGGTCTGGCTATCTTGGAACTCACTCTGTAGACCAGGCTGGTCTAGAACTCAGAGGTCTGCCTGCCTCTCCCTCCTGAGTGCTGGTATTAAAGGTATACATCACCATACCTGTCTAGAATTTGGTTTCTTTATAACCATTCTTATAAGAATCTATAAAACACATGACAGTAGCACATTATAGTAGTTCTAGGAGGAGAACTGAGGATCACATATTTCATGCAGAGGCTGGAGGTGTAGCTCATTGCTTTTCCTGAGCAAGGTCTTGGGGTTAATCCCTAGTACTGGTAGGGGAGAAAATCACTATCAATGAGTTTGCTGTTCACTTTCACACTTGCAAAGGGGGAAAAAGACTTTCCTGGAGCATTTGCCCTCGAGTTTCTTAGGGACTGTCAGAAGCCAGCTTGGTGGTTAGGGAGATTACCATTCTGCACATTAGTGGTTCCGTAGCTCTCCGTGGGGATGAAGCCATCATTACTTTTGTCAAAAACCTGTGGGACTGCAAAGAAAATCAGCTAGTGCCTCAGCCTCCGTGTGTGGCTGCACATGGAGGCAGCCAGTGAGCCACAGGGGATGCCAGGGAACTGAGAGCACAACAGGAAGCACTGAGTCTCTGCCTCGTAGAGGATAGAATATGCTCTATTAGAATTTATATTGTATATATTTTCGTTGGCCTTCACTCTTCCACTCATGTGTCTTCTCTGTTCTCAGGATAGTCATTGCATGTTAAAATTGGGTCACAAGGGAAATACCTCTTACCCAGCTCTAGCAATTTACTCATGTTTCCTTTTCTTACTGGCTTCTGAGCTAAATCTTTGGCTTTGAAGCTTCTCTTACTAATGAATTTATTGAGAAGAATTTGTGTATGCAGGTGTGGGTATGTGTGCATGCATGTGCAATGCGTATACCCACCCACCCACACCCCTCAGTTAAATCTTGATCCTATAGTTCGCTCTTCACACAGCCTTATTGGGTTGAACTGGAGCAGTATTTTTTTTTTAAATTATAACAACAATAAAAAGGTATACTAAATATTTTAGTTCAGATTATCCAAAAGCTTCATGTAAGGGCTCTACCTTTTTTACATAGTCAGTTGTGCATTTCCATTGTAGACCACTAAACCAACCTGGCCCCCTGTGTCTGACAGAGTGTAGAAGGACACTGTGGAAGAACTTGGGCGCTGAAACTTCATACTCAACTTGGCATTCTGAGTAGAGGAATAAAATAAGGGTACTGGGGAGAAGGCTTGCACGTATACTCACAATACAGCAGAAATAAGGTCATTCCAACAACTTTGATAACTACTATAATAAGCACTGAGATGATCATGTTCCAGTTCATGATGATGGGGATTCAGGGACCTGTGAGGACCAAAGCAACATCATCAGTATCTGTAGATGAAGCTGCTTCCTCCATGCCTTAGCCTTGTCCCTTGCTAAGAGTACCCAAGGGAAGACTCGAAGACAGGCATTCTAGGGAATGGAGGAGACCCAGACATGTCCAGAACACTGATAAGGAACTTGACATGCTGTCTCTCCTTCATGTATACTTTAGCATTAGGTCTGAACCTCGTCTCCATGTGTGGTTTCATAAACCATGTCTGATACATAAATCTCCTGTAATTCAACAATGCTTAGTCTTAAAATAACCCTTGCTTACAAGGTTAGTCTTGGCAATAATAATCTCACTTATAGAAGGCTTAGTCTCCCATGTTTCAGGGATATGTGACAGATGAATGGAGGACAGACAGACAGACTTACCTGAGGTCTTTCTGGGCTGGCACACAGATAGGAGTCTTTTCAGAAGGCTGATGATTGTGTGGTGAGCAGAGTTCCTTGTCTCCTGAGCATATGCTCCTGATCAGGCAATGGGTACTGTCCTTGTTCACAACCTCACTGTGCTAGCAGCATCTCCAAACAAACACTTCTTCCTGTTCAGTGCTTTTGGCAAAGGAGCAGGCAGGGCAAAAAGGGGAAGGGAACCTCTAACTCTGCAGGCGGAAGGTTCCTGTCAGGGAAACATTTCTACAAGTATGTGGAAAACCACCCGCCTCAGCACAGACTCTCCCTTCATCTGTTAACTTTCTATTGCTCTTAGGACGAGGCTTGGCTTCTTAATGCAATATATAATTATTGCATAATCTTTTTTCCATGGAAGTTAAGTGCTTAGTCATGTGCTAAGTATTCTCTTAGCACCTGGGATATATGTGGTGATTCTGTGCCTCTCATCGGCACCAAATCTGCCCATGTCTTATCTGCCAGACATATTACTGAACTGAGATTTTTTTTTTTAAATGAATTTTGTCTTTGGTCTCATTTTCTCATCACATGGTCACATGACACACCATTATTGACCACATAACCACATAGCACTGATAGTATCACCTGTTCTCTCTATCTCAGATACACAATAGACTTCTCTATGTTCTCATTGACTAGATAATTCTGATGCATCCTTTAGACATTACTTCTTTTGCCAATCTTCCACTCATATGTCCCATTTGGGTTTAGGTATCCCTTTCCTAGTACCATGATACTGGGTACCTGTTCCTTGGGAGCAGTTGTGGGGTGATTATCTACTTACTTTGCACACTCTAAAGCTATGAAGGCTGAAACTATTTATTCTTTCACTACTACTGTGGCCCTGGAACAAACTTGGCACTTGGAGCACTGTACTTGAAAAATGATATCTGGCTTCTAGGCTTGTAGTTCAAACCTTTACTTGTGGACCTATCACCAGACCTACAAAATACATATTTCTGATCAATTAATTTTTGTGTGACACTACTTATAGAAATTGATAAGTTGGTTGTCATTGTTTTCAAAGATAACATAGATGTGAGACCATTTCCAAAGATACAGATTCCTGACTGAAACCCTAACTCAAACTGCCAGCCTGGACTGCAGACCATAATGACAGTACTTCAAAAGATAACTCATCATCCCCTTGTTTGTAAACAGAATTAACTTCGATCATTAATGGTCTGTTGTTTTAATATAAATTGCCACTTAGCTTAAATAGCAACTTAGAGTTCATAGAAAAACCCCAGTTCTTAATAAGTAGAAGTACTCTCTAATACAATACTGTGATATACTTAAAGTGATGTGCTAGGGAATGGAAGTGAGGGGAAGCTGTGGGGCCTGGACAGGGGTGGTTCAAGGCCTGGGCAAGGCTCTCAGGTCCTGAAGCCTACCATGGAAACACACTTGACTCCCACTCAATGCTAGTGACTCATTGAATAACTGGAAGTTCTGTTGCAGAGGGATTGGATGCTAAAGACACTACCTCATTAATATCAAGATGTGTAATTTCCAGACTGATGTAGCACGTTACTCAGAAGACAGACTTTCTATGCATATGTCTTTAACCAAAACCAGAAATAGTCACTAAAAACAACCCCTATCTTTCTTCCTTGAGTCTTGTAAGATCTGACCCTTCTGGTGTCTACCAGTAGCCATCACAGGTGTGAGTAAAGCTTTTCATATCTCACTTAAAGTTTTAACAAAAAGGAGGCTGGGTGTGGTGGTTACACCTTTAATCCCAGCACTCAGGAGGCAGAGGCAGGTGGATCTCTAGGTTAGAGGCTAGCCTGGTCTATAGAGTGAGTTTCAGGATTGCTAGGGCTACACAGAGAACCTCTACCCAAAAAAGCTTAATAAAAAGAAAAGAAAATCAATGAATATGTTAATGTAACACACAATAAATTAAGTATTAAAAAAGAAAAATCCAGTTTCCATCTATGAGTCAAAAGTTTTATGATATGGGAAATATTAGACAACATCTATGGTTTTTAAAAGATGTCAGAGAACATTGACTCTGTAAAAGGAAAATGCCATCAAATAGCCAAGAGTCACTAGGAGGTATAATTGGTGGTTTAAACAAAACAAAACAAAACAAAACAAAACAAAACAAAACAAAACAAAACAAAACAAAACAAAACAAAACAAAACAGTAGGATGAAGGACTCTAAATACTAAGTTAGATACCATAGGAAAAGTGAGAAAATTAGAAGATATGACCGAGATTGCAATTCAGAAGTCAGAGAAAAAGGGAAAATGATAATTAGAGGAGAAATATAGAGATGTTAATATTGGATCCAATGAAAATACAACTAGAGATACCATTATGCAGTAAATTAAAGAACAGCCTCTCTATAAAATATGATGAAAGCCAAATTAACTAAAAAAAAAACAAACAAAAACCCTAGAATTTCCATTGCAAGTAAATTAATGATGCTATTGTGGAAAAACTTTTTTTTTCTTTTTCTTTTCCTGATGGCATGTTTCCCAAAAGATGTTTATGGAGTGCAGGAAAAATATATCATTTCAATACAGACAAAATGTGAACATCTATTCTAGCTTGATACACAGTTACTGAAGATATGTTATATGGCTGAGACCTTAGCAGACAAAAATTAGCTAAAGATATAAGTAATGTAAATAATAATTGTGGGTAGTTAGTGATTTGTAGTATTTATAAAAACTTTTGTACAATGAATTAGCCTAGGATGTATAAAATATCAAGACATGACTTATTTTCATGTGCTACAAAACGTCTTGCTATTTTACTGTGGAAATTCAAATTGGTAAGCATGATTCGACAGAAGCTCTCTGTGGAACATCTTACAGTCATGCTCGACAGTGACCTAAAACCACTGTGGCCACCTTTCCCAATGACGAAGAATTGAAATTACTTCATTGCATCATTTATCAGGAAATACATTGTGCTAACATGTTCATGAATGTGGTAACTAAGGCTGGGTGCTATGCAGGCTTTGTATGATGAATTGGATTTATGCCACATAATTTTTAATTAGCATTAGAATGAACAAGCAGTGTATGTGTGTGTGTGTGTGTGTGTGTGTGTGTGTGTGTGTGTGTGTGTGTGTGCTTGCTTGCATGTGCATGTGCATGCACACATGGATTGAGGTGTATCATATTTATTGACTCTAAGATTTACTCAGGATATCTCCTACCCAATGGTAAGAAGGCAATGCAAATGTTATAATTAAGATATGGAATATTTTCCCCAGTGCCTTATATACAGAGGCTTTGTCCCCGATGTAAACAATATTCAGAAGAGGGGCTTCTGAGAAGTGACTGTCCAGACCATGAGGGCTCTGCCTTCATCAATGACTTAATCTATCAAAGGATTTAAATTTTGAATAGACAGTAGGTAGATTGTGGGACGGTGGGAGGTGAGCTTAGCTGAGAGAACTGGGTCAATGGGAGGAGGGGAAGGTTTCCTTAAAGGTTAATTCCTGCCTTGGCTCTCCGTTTCCTGTCTTTTTGATACTTGCTGGCCATCATGAGGTGAGCAACTCTGCTCTCACGCACCCCTTTACACTGATGCTTTCTTTTACCATGGCCCCCAAACAATGGAGTCATCCAACCATGGACTGCACCCTCTGACACCAGCAGCCAAAACACATCCTTCTTCCTTTAAGTTGTTTACACCATGTATTTTATCACAGCAATAAGTCTGACCAATACACTAATACACTGTTCTATAGTCACCTAGAACCACCTCTCCCAACTTCATATTCCAAAAATCAGGGGTGCTTAAGGTCCTTATGCAAAATGCAGGTTTTTTAAAAAGATTTATTTATTATGTATACAGCATGTATGACTGCAGGTCAGAAGAGGGCACCAGATCTCATTACAGATGGTTGTGAGCCACCATGTGGTTGCTGGGAATTGAACTCAGGACCTCTGGAAGAACAGTCAGTGCTCTTAACCACTGAGCCATCTCTCCAGCCCCGCAAAATGCAGTTTTTGCAAATCACCTATGTAGTCCTCTCATAAACTTCAACAATTTTTAGATTTCTACAAATGCAATTTTTAAAAGTATATTTGCTTGACAGTTGAATTCACAAATGCAAAACTCATGTGTTTATATGGCTGACTATTCATTATATTTTAAATTTTTATTCCTTAGTAATATGTAATATAATGAGGAATTATTCCATTGATGCCATCTTAGATCCTGTGAAATATAATAATAAAGAATACCACAGGGGCTGGAGAGATGGCTTAGTGGTTAAGAGCACTGCCTGCTCTTCCAGAAGATGCTGGTTTAATTCCCAGCACCCACATGGCAGCTCACAGCTATCTATAACTCCAGCTCTAGGGGATCTGACACCCTCACACAGACACACATGCAGGTGAGTCACAAACACACAAAAAGTAAAATAAATAAGAAAGAGTACCATACATTAAAGCCATCACCATTTTAAACTTTATGAAACATGTTATATCTATATACATATTACTGACCAAGCTTGACACAAGAAACAGAAGAAGACCTGAAATACCCTTAAATTTTTGTCCTAAGATATTTGGAAAAATTGTTAGGTGTAAGTTGCAAAAAAGTGAGTTCTGTAAGTAGCAATTTGTATGTGAAGCTTAAGTTTGAAATCCCATTAGAATTTCTTATTTTACACATATTGACAGGGTACTTGTCATACTTTCAGCTGTCAACTTGATACTGGCCTGGAGTGATCCAGGAAAAAGGAACCTCAGTTGAGGAGCTGTCTCTATCAGACTGTACCGCCGCATTTTTGTGAGGTTTTTTCTTCTTCTTCTTCTTCTTCTTCTTCTTCTTCTTCTTCTTCTTCTTCTTCTTCTTCTTCTTCTTCTTCTTCTTCTTCTTCT